TCTTGATGAGCAAGCTGATAGGGTATGCAAGTTACAGAGATCATATATGGACTCAAGCAAGCTTATAGGAGCTGGAACATTCATTTTGATGAAGCCGTAAAAGAATTTAATTTATCAAGAACAAAGATGAGCCTTGTGTTTACAAGAAAGTGAGTGGAAGCGTAGTGGCATTCCTTGTATTGCATGTCGATGACATACTTCTGACAAGAATGATATACCGAACTTACAGTCGGTAAAGACTTGGTTATCCAAGTGCTTCTCTATGAAGGACTTGGGGGAAGCAGCCTACATCCTTGGAAAAAAGATCCATTGACATAGATCATGTAGGCTGCTTTGCCTAAGTCAGAGTGCATATATTGACAAAGTACTGAAAAGATTCAGTATAGAAGAATCCATGAAGGAATTTTTTCTGATAGCACACGGTGTTTATCTCTCTAAGGAAATGTGTCCTAAAACACAAGATGAGAGAGAGAGAGGATGAAGAGGATCCCATATGCATCAGCAATTGGATCTATCATGTATGTCATGCTATGTACTCAGATTGATGTCTCGTGTGCTTTGACACATGTAGTAGATATCAGTTGGATCCAAGTGAGCATCACCGGATGGCTGTCAAGAACATTCTTAAGTACCTGAAGAGGACTAATGATATGTTCTTGGTTTATGGAGGGGAAGATGAGCTCACTATAAGATGATACAATGATGTTAGTTTCCAAATGGACAAAGATGATTATCGATCGCAATCAGGGTTTGTATTTTGTGTCAATAGGGGTGCAGTGAGCTGGAGGAGCTCCAAGTAAAGCACCATAGCGGACTCTACAACGGAGGCTCAATATATTGCATTATCAGATGCGGCCAACGAGGCAGTCTGCATTAAAAGTTCTTCATCAAACTTGGTGTGGTTTCCATAATTGTTGATCCAATAGACATCTATTGTGACAATAATGGAGCAATCACTCAAGCCAAGGAACCACGATCTCATCAAAAGTCTAAACAAATACTTAGATGATTCCATCTCATCAAAGAAATAGTTGAGAGGAAAGATTGTAGATCAGTAAAGTGCATACTGATGACAATCTCATAGATCCACTAACAAAGCCTCTGTCGCAGCAGAAGCATGAAAGGCACTTGAGATCATTTGGTATTAAATACATGAATGATTGGTCATAATGCAAGTGGGAGATTGTTAGGGTAAGTGCCCTAAAGCCAATCAATTATTATAGAATTGACTCTTTGTAATAATGTTCATTAATCAATACAAGGCATTTTATTCTATATCGCATAAATCATCATTGTATGTATTGATATATGTCCTTAGAATGGTAGAACCGTGACGAGTGTATCAAATGTTTCAAATCTTGACAGTGAAAACCCTATGAGCACATATGGTGGCCATTCTAGAAATGTCTGTAGCCCCAATATTATTCTAAAGTAAGGGCACAGATAATACGGTAAGGCTATCATAGTGTTGAATGACCATATCGAAAGGTAGTGACTGATCTCACTTGTCGAGTTGTTTGGTGACAACCTAGTGCAACACATGGTTATTGTAGGCAAATTCACTGGACTGACCCACTAGAGGATTCCATATAGATGGTAACCCCAGTGTCTATGGAACAAATCCTCTAACGAATGGTGGTGCACGTGATCCTGAGACTTGAGATCACCGGAGCCCCTCATGCATCGATTGGTGCAGTTTGACACTAGCCCAATGCAGTTCTATTCAGAACTGTCAATACGGTAGTGATTGGCTGCATCAAGAAGTGTATCAAGACTATGGTGGATCGAAAGAGGATTCATCACCTCTAGGTACGGGAGAAGTTATCTCACGGCGCAATTCAGTAAATGGCAATGACGCTAAAAATGTGGCCACAATGGGATTGAGTTGTTGCTCTATCCAGTTTATAATTCTGGTCATTGGTTCAGTAACTGAATAACATACATATCGAGAGTAACTGAGGTTGACACTATTTCTATGCCTCGGTCTCGTTTGAGATAACGGTTGATAAAAGGATTGGATTGTAGGATAAACATATCGTTGACAAATAGCTGCTTCGCTGAATCTAAATCTATTGGGTGGCCATGATGCCTTGATAGGGGTCAATCTTAGTCTGTGTGTAGTGAGACAATTAATTGGTGTTAATCACAATACTACACACTACCGGTATGATAAGGAGCCTACGGGTCACACACATAAAAGATAATTTAAGAACCAGTTTATAAGAAGGGTGTTTTCATCTTTTTAGGTAAAATGATATTTTGATAATCTCACAGTACAATTAAATTTCCAATTTCCTGAGGTCATAGCCTTTATTTAATTTGATATTAAAATAAATAAGTGAGATTACATTTATATATGTGTTTAAATGTTGATATTATATATATATATTGAATTAAATTGAGATAATGATAATTAAAATTTAAATATCTAAGTGGGGCTGTTTGGATACAAGGGGTGTTTGGGTTGGTGCCCAAATCTATTCCATGATGGAATAGGGCAAAGTGTGCACTATATAAGTGCAATACTTTGTGAATTAAAAAAGGAATTCATTCAATCATTGATATAAAATATTCCAGCCCCCTTTCCCTTCTTCCCATGCCAAATTACCTTTTTGCTTGAATTAAATATCTTTTGATTTCTTCTTGGTTCTTAAGGCTAAAAAGGATCAAGCAAATCTCTCTTTAGTTTCTTGGGGTTGTCTTCATGTAGACTACATTGGTTTGATCCTACTCTTGAATCGGTAGTAAAATCCATTCAGAGAGACGTTGGAGGAGCCTTCAAACGTGCATATGATTTATTAACTCTAGACTGAATTTTCTGCAGATTCTTATTTAAGGTATAAACTATAAATTTGTTCTCTGATCTTGGTTCTAAGGAACGACCCATGTTGTAAATAATTTTTGTTTTCTGCTGCCATGACTTGATCGTTTTTTAACAGTGCCATGGCCTCACGCCATCTTGGATCCTTAATAGCCTACGAATAAGATTTGGGCTCACTATGAACAGAAATGTTAGCAAGGAAGGCTTTATGCAGCAAAGCAAAATGAGAGTAGGATAAATGACAAGAAATAGGATAAGGTTTACCTTAAGAAACTGCATTGGACGTAGTTGGTGATGACTTTTCTGCTTCACGGAGATGACATACATAATCCTTAAAATGAGTAGGTGGACGTCTTACTCCTTGTGGCCGCATAGGAATAGGAGGAGATTGCTCCTCGGTCAATGGTGGGGGAGACTCGATTGACTCCAGTGGAACAAGATCAATATGAGATGTCAAGTTGTCCATTTCACGTGGTACATGAGTTGCACTTGATTGATCAGAAAATTCCTTTATGGAACACATAGAGTGGAGTTAATCTGATTGTGAATGTGAATCATCTAATGGTAAAGGGATGATTAGATTTGGAGGATTAGTATTGTTACGGAGTGCAAAAGGTTTCATAAAAAAATACATCTCATGAAACAAAAACCTTGTGTGACTCTATATCGTAAACCTGATAACCTTTTTGACCTATTGGTAAAACACATGGCCTTGAACGAGATGAAAACTTATCTTTTGATCCATTTTGATCATGAACATAACAAAGACACCCAAAAACTCACAAATGTGAGTAGGATGGAAGTTTTGATAATTTTATAAAGGGGTTTGATATTTTTTAGGGAATTTTTTATAATTATATGACTTTGTTTTTTTTTTTTTTTTTTAATTACTTTTTGAAGGATGGGATGAGTTTCATTTAAGCAATCTCATAGAGGAAAATGAAATAAACCCTCTAGATATAGTTCACATAACCTAAAAGATTTAAACAAACACGCATGCATAAGAAACACAAAAAAATAAAACCAAAATGATAAGAAAAAAAATGCAAGCAAAATATAACTAATGAAAATGAAGTTCCTTTCGTTCTAATATTTTTTTTATGTAATTTCTTCATCATATATATATATATAATTGCATTTGTTGAATAGTTGTTGCTCGGCGGCTTGGTTTGGATGTCTCAGAAGCTTTTCGTTCTGTTGCATTTGACTTCATTTTATTTATTTATATATTAATTAATTTAATATACTGGAAAATTTGTCGTACTGAACTTTTGATTATGTTGTTAATGTTGGAAAAATTGAAGATATTATTTATTTATGAATTTAAAATACTAGAAAATATTCCGTATTGAACTTTTGATGAAGTTGTTAATACTGAAAAATTTGAATTTAATTATATTTATTTATGAACTTAAGATACTGGAAAAATTTTCGTACTGAACTTTTGATGAAGTTGTTAATACTGAAAATTTTGAATTTTATTTTATTTATTTATGAATTTTAAATACTGGAAATTTTTTCGTACTGAACTTTTGATGAAGTTGATAATACTGGAATATTTGTCGTACTGAACTTTTAATGAAGTTGTTACTCTCATATATATATTAAATTTTTTTTATTTCATTTGGAGGAAGTTAAGATGTAGTTATTTCAATGTGAGCTGAACAATCTTCGGCCATGGAATTTAGTAAATAAACGGCTGTGAAATAGTGTTAGAAAATTTTGCCATGTTACTGTATAATGAAGCCAGATACTTAGTTTACTAGATTTCATGAACTCAAATCATTATGATTTTCTCAGAACAGATAATTTTTTTCTCTTAGTCTAATAGGTGGTTGTTGTTATATGATTTTGAAGTTCTTGGAAGCTTTTGGTAATTGTTTGTGATTTTTATATGATTTAACATTGTTTATTTGAAACGACAACTGCAGTAAAAAATGAGGTGCATTCATTAGGATTTTGCCGAGCTTTATATCTGAATGATGTGCAAAAAACCATGCTTTAGTCTTTCTAAAAATAAAATTTTAGATAAAATATTTGCTTGTCACACATTCCACTCCACTCTTTCTGATATACAACCACAAATTAAATTGACAGTACTCTAAGGTTGTTCCTGATATTATTATATATTGTTCAAAGTGTTAATTTCATGTTTGAATGTTTGTATTTTTTTATCAACAGATACATGAGCCTTTGATAAATGAGTTTCTGAAGCTAGGGGGATCTAGATGTGCGAGCCCTCAGGAGGCAGGGAAAGGTAATCTACATTGGGTTCTTATTAGCTCAACTTCTTTTCGGTTCCCTTTGTTTTCCTTTATGTTCTTTAAATTCTGCTTAGTTTACATATTGTATTCAGTTAAGACTCTTTTTTATTTCCCTTCTCTTTTTCTTTATATTCATTAAATTCTGCTCAGTAAATGGACACGAGCCTCGAATTAGCAGCCTTGTATGCATGTGAGGTACAGAGTGTAAATGTGCGTATAATCAGATGTTTTGTAGTTTGAGAAAAAAGATTAGGTTCCATTTCTTCTTTTCTAAGCGAGTCTTTTCATGAATTAATGGGATATTAGTTTTGGTGTAGTACAGTTTGGACGATAATCATGTGGTAACTTTGTTTGACTGTGCATGGATTCCCTTTTGGTTTTGTTTTGTTTCTTAGAAAATTAAGGAATTCAAAAGAAAATGAATTTGTGAATGTTGTGTTTGGATTTGTGAGAAGTACAATAATTAAGCTAAGCCAAGCACGAACTTATTTTTCTTATGAGTATTATAAAATTACTTTAATATCCTAAAAGCAAAGATTTGATGTAGAAGCACTAATGGCTGCAGATGTCTCTGCGTAAAAAAATTAACAAACAAGGTTTATCTGATTTAGACCAGACCTTAAGGGAGGTCAATGGAATTAGTTAATGTTTTATGTGATCTTTCTCATGTACAAAAAATTTACCTTTAACAAATCTCATTATATCCAATGTTTTATATCTACTCTGTTCCATTCATGTTTGTGTTTCCATGTGCAGATGTAGCAGCTTTGGTTGTGCTAATATCTCATGCTGATCAAATTGATGATGTAATCTTTGGTCACGATGGTGCATTAAAAGGTATATAGATAGAGTTATATTAACTTGGTAATATAAACTTTGGTGACTTTTCTGATCTACAGACGGTGGACTTTTATGTGTTTGTAGGGTTGAACAAAGGCTCAGTCTTAATTCTTCGTTCAACCATACTGCCATCACATTTCCAGAAATTGGAGAAGAATCTTTCAGGCAACTACTTTTACATATTTTGAGCCCCAATAATGCAAGTTATTGTACATACAATTTATCTCTTCACTATTCTTATGTTCCAAACAAGTGCACATTTTTGAAACTCCTACATCTTCCTCTTCCTATTTTATTGGTTCCATCAATTAATTAACAGTGAGGGATGATTCCAAAACTGTGATCATAGTGCCATGTTTATTTATATAATGCAAGTTGTTGTACATACTATTTATCTCTTCACTATTCTCATTTTTGCTTTCCTTCTATTATATACAACACCAGTCACCAAAGTTTTGCTGACATTATCCTGTTTTTTTCTCTTACAGAGAATGGTGAGACAGCTTATCTGGTTGATGCCTATGTCTCTCGGGGAATGTCTGAGGTTTTGAAAGGGAAAGTCATGGTAACATATATCTTAAATAATATTGTTTCTTCTTTTGGCTTTTTTTTCCTAGACTCGTAATAATCTTGGCATTAGTTACTGTTTACATTGACTGAATTGGTAACATGTAAACTGTTTAGATAACATCTTCAGGAAGGTCAAATGCCATTGCAAGGGCGCGGCCATTTCTCTCTGGTAAATCTGTTTGTATCATCTTAAATATTCTTGTGAGAACTTCCTAATGTGGTTCCATACTTTATAATGTGTCTTTTTCATCTCTCAGTCAAATTATTGTGTTTTGCTAACAGCTATGTGTGAAAAGCTTTATGTCTTTGAGGGTGAAGTTGGTGCCGGAAGGTATGCATTCTTTTCAGTCTTTAAAACTATTTTTTTTTTTTTTCACAATGAATTGCTATTAAGTTAAAAAGTTCTTTTATCTAATTGTTATGGTAAGCTATGGTAGTTATTTTATATGAAAGTTAAATAATTGCTGACAAGCTAATTTGATAACATCAATTGTTTCCTTGTGTGTTTCTTGAAATGATGAAGTTGTTTGGATACTTTAAAGTTTTGCTTGTGGTACTTGATGCTTTAGAATTTGCTATTCAATTTTGATTCTCTTCTTATTGCAGCAAATCCAAAATGGTTAATGAACTACTTGAGGGCATTCACCTTATTGCTTCTGTAGAGGCTATTTCTCTTGGTGCTAAAGTCGGGATTCATCCATTAATTCTCTATAATATCATTTCCAATGCTGCTGGAAATTCATGGTTTGATGCTACCTAAATTGTGTTTTCTTATTTTATTTTCTCCCACTGTGACAACAATATAATACTGTAGGTCTGTCTGGCTCAAAAACTTGACATCATGAAACACAACCTAAATACAAAAAAATAATCCTCCTCAAGCTGTCTCATAAAGATCAAACATGCCCAGTTTCAAGCACAATCTATACATGACAACCCACGTCTATACCCTAAACCTGTCTACCTTTATCCATTTCTCATATGATGGCCATACACTCGAAATAACCACTCAAAAACTCAATGGTCAAATTTTCCCTACACAAGGTTTCCTATCAATCCAAGGATTCTGAGTTATCAGCTGTAACTATTGCTTTTTCGTGATTTTAGATAGTTAATGTGTATCTGACTTCTTGCTTGTACTTTGTTTGATGCTTACAACCACACATATTATTTTGCTTTTGGTGTTCATTTATATTTTTGTGGGGGTGTTCAAATGCAGGATTTTCAAGAATCACATTCCCCAACTATACTCTCTAAAATTACCTAATTCACCAATTTCATTTATTATCACCACAATACATTTAATCTGATTGTAAGTATACCATCTTGACCATTGAATCATCATTTCGTCAACCCTCCAACTATAATCTAAGGGTTTATAAAATACCTTGTTACTTATGAATCATATGATTAAGTGAATTATTAAACAAACTCATTCATGTTAATACCATATATTCGTTTTTAAACTAGGTTAAAACTAAAGCTTGACTAATAGGGGTTTGGAATCCAAGCATAAGTAATGAAAATAAATATTTATGTTATTGTTATTGTAATTATAATAATGCGACATAAATGTTTTTGCTCAAACAAAATCACTAGTGTTTATTTATTTTCATACAAGTTACTCAACTCAGTTTGGCATCTCGATGTTAGTTCTTCGCCACCCGAGACTATAGAATGCTTTAAAGGCTAGGTTAAGTGATATGTGAGTTGGGTTTAAAACGTCGTGCAACAATTTAATCCATATTCACTGTAGGTGTTAGAAGATTGAGAGAAACCTTTCCCACTATGAGATGATTAGGAAGGTGCTTTTTATGTTGATTTAATAAGTTAAACTATGAATAATAATTCATATAAGTGGTATCTTTTTCACGGTACATTCCATAATTAGTTTTATGTATATTTAATAATTATTTAAAGTACCGACCTCCAATTGTTTTTCAAAGCTTTGGTCTATTCAATTTGTCAAAGAGAATCTCATTTTGGTACCTAAAGTTGTAATATTGTTGGTGGGTGCTAATGATGAGCCAAATAAACAATTAGGGGCGACCAATTGTTCACAATTAATGGTATATAATTTATTACATTTAAAAAATTTCATATTTATTTAACATTATATTCAACTGCTCTTTACCTTATAATTAAAATATTATTTATTTTTAGTGTCTCCTTTTTCCTTTTTAATTATTAAGCCCACTTAATTTATTCCCACCAACCACTCGTACAATTGAATATATTTTCCTTTTTTCTCTTTTTTATTTTATAAATTTAAAACATACAAATGTGATTTATATTGAAAATAAAAATAAAGAAAAAAAATAATCACAGTCAGTGATGCTAAGTCCAATATTAATATCACGTCCTACATTATTATCAAATTTTAAGCCTTTCATCCTTTCCATTTATTTGAAGCACAAAAAACAAATATACTTTGATTGGATATAAAACCGATAATATTTACTTAATTCAACTCAAATCTTGGTTTCACATACAAAATACATAAAAAATATATTTGGGTTCATCTAATTTTGATACTTCTCAAATACGAACCTAAAATTCTCATCCAAATAATAATCATAATAATAATCAATCATTGAAATGTGAAACAAAGAAATCAAAAGGATAAAATCGTGATGCACATCAACATATGATGACAAATGACTTTATCTTCATCATTCACTTTCGAAATATTGCCAAATAAATATAAGAATTTATTTTTATTTTTTACATTTTAATTGGTTATTATTAATTATAATAAGTTTTCATTTATCTCGTTGCTTTGTTTTTTTAATATTAATGTCATATAATCACGTTAACAATGATAATAATTTGTGAAAATAAAGTTTCATGTGTTTCATAAATTCTGGATTTGAAAATTAAACCATTTAAAAGGAATTTTAGGTACAAATTAATTTGACTGTTTAATTATTTATATATAAAATTAGAAGTAAAAATATCGAAGGTCAAAAGTGACTTTTGGCTAATGTGGGTGGAGGGCCAAAATCAGGTGAAATCAGAAACGAAACATGTCCTGCTTTCATTGAAACTACAAAATAATTGATAAACGATGTCGTTTCGTCTGCTTCTGAAACTACAAATAATTGTTATTGTCACCTAGCTCTGGATTATACACCTTCACAGTTATGTGTCTTCCTCCTATTGGGTTACCCGGCACCTGTCAATCATGAAATGTAGGAGTTCATGATCCATGGTTCATGTGTGATACATGATTGATCCACCTGGCAATATCAGAATAGATCATATCCGAAAGTTCATCTTCCCATAAACCCAATAATGAAAGAACAGATCATATCCAACTAGATGCACTAAAAAATCTGAATTTCCTTACAAATTGACAGTCACAATTTTTCATGTATGTAAAGAGTAAAGACATGATTCGTGTATTTAGTGGAAGTCTTGGGCACAATGCAAATATAAAAAGAATGTACTAGGCTAGTAGCTGCCCTCATGATTCATTTTGTCCCCTCTCATAATTTTAGTTTACATAATTGCATTAATAAAATTAACCATTGCTAAATAAATAAATATAGAAAAAATGAATAGAAATGATATAATTATTATTTACCTCGAAAGTAGTAGGAGGGAAATTTATCAATAAAAGCACAAAAACATACACTTAATATAAAAATACAATATCATTTATGTATAAGAAACAATAAAAATACAACCAAACTGAAAGAAAAGAAAAGAGCAACACACCACCCATGAAAATAAACCATCATTAACAAGACAATTAGCTAGTACCACCATAAATTTCATTGCACAAACCTTGTATTATTCATCAATAAGACGAACCACTGGAACATGAGCAATCTTCAACTCATCATTTCTGCAGCTTTCAATCAGACTAGGACAACCTTCAATCTTCAATTCCTTGAGGGAAGTAAGGCGTTCTATCCCTTCTGGAAGAGATGACAATTTGTGGCATCTTGTAATCTCAAGTTTTTCAAGTGATGTGAGATTTTGAAACCACTCCGGTAGTGCTTCTAAGTTTCCACAGTCTTTAATCTGCATGTATTTTAGAGTGTCAGCAGATGCTTGAAGAAGAAGCTGGGGCAAATCCACCAATGATTCTAATTTCTTAATTATGAATTTTTTAAGACCCAGCCTCAACTCATGATCTTCTCCTTGCAGTTCCATCTTCAAATTAATCTTGGGGCAACTCCTAATCGCTAAAGCCTCTAATTTTGTCAAGTATTTGATAGTATCTGGTAATGACAAGATCATAGGATTGTCGGTTAGAAACAACTTTCGGAGGCTTTTCAGACCTTGCATCCCTTCACACAAACTTCGTAGACTGTTGCACTCACATAAGTACAAAAATTGAAGGGAACTCAAACATCCAATTCCATTTTCAGGAAGAACTTCCTCTTGTGTGGCTATTTCCAAGTGCCTAAGGCATATCATCTTTCGTATGTTATTCGGCAACTTCCTAAGCCCAGAACAACCATAAAGTCTTAACATTTGCAAGTTCTGAAGCTCGCAAATAGATTCAGGGATCTTCTTCAATGAATCATTACAAGCTAGATCAAGGTACCTCAAATGTCTCAATGTACAGATAGAATTTGGCAACACTTCAAAAAGTATACTACACAAGTGTAGTAGTCGGACGTACTTGAATTTGGAGATATCTTTTCTAATAAATGATCCAATAATACGTGCATCTCCGTATTTCTCTGCTGCTGGAAAGACAATGCTTCGAACACTCCTTGAGTTATCATCTATGCGTTGTAGAAATTCTTCACCACATAACTCTGTGTCACCATGTGAAAAATGCCGCAATTTCCCATCAACTTTGTGGCTTCCAACATTTATGAATGCAAACTCACTTTCTGTCATTGATATTGCAAGATCATGCATAAGATCATGCATTTTGAATGTCCAATGAACATTATAATCCAAGAAATCCTCTAAGAAACCCCTTGACCATAAAACTATCATATATTGATTAGCAACATCTTCTAGCTCTTCATTTTTATCAGAGGTTTTAAGAAGTCCAAGTGCCATCCAATATTGGGCCACGTGCAAATTGATATACTCGTAGTCCTTTGGAAACAAGCAAAGATAAGTAAAACATCGCTTCAAGGGAGATGACAAATGATCGTAGCTTAATTTCAATACTGGTAAGATGTCTTCATTATCTTGATCCACCTGCCAGATGTTATTTCCTTTTATTTTCAACCACTCATGTTCGTCTGTGTTTGCATAAAGTAAGCTCCCTAAAGATCTCACAGCCAACGGAACTCCTTTACATTTTCCTACAATGTCCTTCCCAATTTCAATGAGCCTTGGAAAATCTTTCCCTTCCCCATCTTTGAACGCATACTTCTTAAATAATGATAAGGATTCCTCATTGGAAAGGCCTTGCAGAAAATGTGAGGGACCAGTACTCATTATTTCTGCAACTTTTTTACTTCGTGTGCTCACAATAATTTTACTTCCATTGACACCATTCACTAGTAAGTCTTTCAATTCTATCCATTTCTGTGGCTTTTCATTCCAAACATCATCCAAGACAAGCAAAAACTTTTTATCTGTTAAAATTTCATGCAAACGCTTACGAATTTCATCTCCTTTTAACTTACTACAATCCTCACGTGTTGCAGAATAAATCATTTCTTTCATTAATCTGGTGAAATCGAAGTCATCTGACACGCACGTCCACATCTTTAACGGAAAGAGCTTATTTACTCTTTCGGCATTGTAAACCATTTTAGTAAGGGTGGTTTTACCCAAACCCCCAATTCCAACTATTGAAATGACATAAACATTATTGTCGGTTGGTTGCAATAAAAAGCTCATGATCTTTTCTTTATCATCCTCTCTTCCAATAGGACAAGAAGCTCCCAAGAAGGGGTCAGTCTCCCTCCCCTTTAAAATTACAGGCCTAACTTCAACAGGAGTACTCTCAATAAGAGAAAATCTACTCCTATCACTTGCGATCTGATCTAGCCTTTCTCTAATCTCCTTGATTTTATGACTAATTTGACATCGAAGAACAACAGGATTAGAGCTTGAAAAGAATTGACTTACCTTTCTTATTGTGCTCCTCTTTTGTCTCACCACTTCCCTCTTAGGAGCTTGAAACTCGAATTCTTCTAAAACGTCCTCAGCATCAAGAAGAACATCCTTAAGCTTCCTAAGCCAGTCACGCAGCTGATCATTGCATGCCTGCTTTTTCTCAGCATCCGAGATCACGGCTTTGATAGAGCTTAGGGTTCCCTCAAGTCTTCTTAAATCACTTTCAAGATTCCACAACAAGGACACCTGTCGACCCACAAGAGAGCCTATCTTTGTCAGAACTTCAGTCGCAATGTCAAATACAATTGATTCTGCCATTTTCTCTTAGAAGAAACAGAGAGAGAGAATAAGGTAGTTTGAAGATGATTGTGAAGATAGGTGTGAAATCAGCTTCATCTCTAACAAGGAGAGGAAATGGGTAAAGAACGAAAAGAATCCAAAAAACTTGTCTAACAAGAAGAGGAAATGAGTAAGGCACGAAAAGTATCCCACAGAGCCAAAACTTCTCCAGACAAGAAGAGAATAATTAGAGCGCGAAAAGTATATATTGGAAGCCAAAAACAGTTTTATTGGTTTTGAATTTGGTAACTCCTCTGAAAGGAAAATTTATTGAAGGTGATAAAATGTGACCTGCCCTCTGTGAACCATCAAATGGCAGCATTATGGTTGCTGAAATTAATGTTAAGAGTTGAAGCTATATATATATATAATATTAATTAATTAATTCTTTCTTTCTTTCAATATATATATCAAGTGGATGACGCAATAAAAATCAATGATATTAGACACTATGGTCCCTCTACAATCTTTTCCCTCTACTAAGGCGGCAGGAAGGATTCTCTACAGACTCAAATCAGGTTCTTGCATCAGAGATGAGACTTCCAATAACTTTATTTGTAAATAGAAATTCTATTTAACCAAGCCTAATAAATTCCACAAAATCACATATCATTCATGATCAGAAATTATTCAAATGCAAGCTTTGCTAGTTTAAAAAGAATAAAAAAGCATGTCGCAAAATTACCAGCAAAATCTTGGTCATCATCTGTGCCACGGTTTACAGCAAATAAGTCAAACAAGCTATTTCACTTTCGATCTAGTTTATGCAAATTAGTCTCCTACTCTTCTTTCAAGCCGGAGCTTCTCTATCCCTAGACCAAACCCTGCTCAAATGCTTCTCCGGCTCTAGAAACATGTTCCTGCTCCTGTTGCTTCCATTCAATATGTTTATGGGCATTTCATTCATTTATTCTTTGTATGTTTTAGGGTTTTTAGGTTAATGGCCGGATCGAAGATCTCAATTTTCATTCTGACCTCAAAATCAATTTCGAAATGAGTCTTTTATACTTGTCTCGACATTTCGAAACAACATTCTATAACTAGGTTGATGGGTCTGAGAAGAGTTTTGAGGGGCTTTGAATAACAACACTCATTTGATAAGGAGAACATAAATGTTACTCATTCCATAATACTATGGGCTAATTTAGTGAACCTCTTTCTCCTTTTGGGCTCCTTAGATGCACTTGGACCATCTTTGTTAGATGAGCCCAACACAAATCCAAGACTAGTCCCATAAAAGTTGCAAGAATCCAACTATACATTGTTCAGTGGAAAAGGGTCATCAGATTATAATAGGCAAAATCATTTCTCAATTAGTATAAAACCTTTTAGCTAATTAATTTCATAAAATAATTTATGAACCCTAATCCCAATAGAGGCATATTATATATAATACAATATATTATGTTATATACTCTTGAATATGCCTTTAGCGATTGAATATATTCCTTATCCTTAATAAAAACTTTAATTTTTTTTCCTTTTTTTGTAAAATCAAGAAGATAATATGAGATTTAATTAGTCCTTAATTTAATAAAGCTTCTATAGCACAATCGGAACCAACGGGTACCCCAGGTTCTTGTTCCAGTTCCTACCCGAAATTGCCCCTTACAAGGTTGATTCCAATTCTTGCACTGCAAGAATCAAGAACGAGAATCGAAACTGGATTCTGGACCATTGGATCATCATTTCGTCAACCCTTCAACCATAATCTAAGGGTTTGTAGAAGACATTATTACTTATGAATTATATGGTTCAATGAATTATTAAACGAACTATTTCATTTTAGTACTGTATGTTTGTTTTTAATTAGGTTAAAATTAAAGCTTGACTAATAGGGATTTGAAACCCGAGCATAAGTAAGGAAAATACCCATCCGTGGATAGTCTAGATGGTTAGGGTGAATTGGGGATTGTGTGGATAGACGCTGGTCTCAGGTTCGATTTCCTATCTGAGCATCCGCGATTTAACTGGAAGACCACAACGGTGGGTTGTTGCACTAATCTCTTCCGAAGACAAATCGAGGTACATGTAAGTTAGCTTGGACACATTCGTTACAACCAAAAAAAAAAAAAAAAAAAAAGGGAAAATACATGTTTGTGTTATTGTTATTATATTAATGCAACATAAATGTTTATTTAATAAATTAAACTATGATCTAATAATTCATATAAGTGGTAATGTTATTCACGTTGGATTCCATATATATTATATTAATTAACAATAATGCTACAGACACTTATAATTTACACCGAATTTTTGTACTGACGTACGTGGCATTCAATCAAATACGACCACATTGAAGACAACATACGTTTTTCATGAATGAATGGCTGTTCAACAATTATGGACGTTCATCCATATTTGATGGATAACTGTTTATCACGAATTGACGAACGTCTACAAAAATAACAATGGACTCCTGTCCATATTATTTGGATAACAGTATTTACTATGGATGGACGTCCACCTCATATGGACATCGTTCATAAAATTTTTAAAATAAAATAATGGACGTCCGTTCTAAATAATTACATTCCTCTGTTTGCATATATATAGAACGTTAAGAGGAGCGTATTGACTGCATCCCTGGACTTCCTTCAACAAGGGTTGCTGATCTTCCAAGAATTTTGCATGGAACTGGATCTAATGAAGGTACCAGAAAAGTTTTAAACCGAGCCTTGGAATGTGTTCAAGGAGTGTCAAACGCACAGTATCTTTTCTTCACTTCAGTCTACGAGCTTGAAGATCAAGTCTTTGACCAGTTAAAAACAGAGTTCCCTTTCCCCGTCTGCCCAATTGGACCTACCATACCCTTCTTTCAACTCAAACACAACTCTTCATCAACAATTACCAGTAATCTCAATGGACGTCCCAACTACTTCGAGTGGCTGGATTCCCAACCTAATGCCTCAGTCTTGTATGTCTCATTCGGAAGTTTTCTATCAGTTTCAAGTGCCCAAATGGATGAAATTGGTGCTGGGGTGCGCAATAGTAGTGTACGGTACTGCTGGATAGCTCGTGGTGATACTTCTCTCTTTAAAGATGGCTGTGATGATGCGGGGATTGTAATGCCTTGGTGTGACCAATTGAGGGTGTTGTGTCATCCTTCCATCGGGGGATTTGGGACACATTGTGGCTGGAATTCTACTCTTGAAGCTGTTTACGCTGGTGTTCCATTGCTTACATTTCCAACCTTTTGAATAGTATTGAGAGGAAGGTGATGAGTAAAAGGGCTAGAGAACTTAAAGAAATTTGTCAAGGAGCAGTTGCTGAAGCTGGATCATCTAAAAGTAACATTGATGCTTTTCTTAAGGATATTTCACAGATCCATGACTCAAAATGAGCAACCAAGCTCAATGTACCCTGTCCACTCTCATGATTTGGAGTACTGAGGGCGCCATTTGTTTCTTATGTTGCAGATATTAGAACCTTGATTGTTTGAATAACTAATGAAACTAAGATTTATATATCGAATAAAGAAATAATTTTTCTGTTTATTGCTTAGCATTCTGCGTTTGTGGTGAAAATGTTGTTTTTTTAGTATCCAAAATGCATATATGCCTGGTTATATTCAAAATTAAGGTTAATTCATAACGACATAACTTACATAGGTATTTAATTAGTTATTTAATCTCCCTAAAGTAAACCTATCTACCTTTCTCCCTCCTTCGGTTCTCTTATATAGACTCCCCAGTTTCCACACAGTTGCTGTAATATTCTGAGAAATACATGGATCCATCAGAAACAAAAACATCAAGCATGAAGATTTGCCACGTAGTTGCCTTGCCTTATCCTCGTAGAGGCCACATCAATCCCATAACGAACCTCTGGAAGCTTATTTTATTTTTAAAATTTTATGGCATGGGTGAAGATGGACGCCCGTCCATTATTTTATTTTTAAAATTTGATGGACGGGCATCCATATGAAGCGGACGCTTGTCTATAGTAAATGTACTCTCGTCTAAATAATATGGATGTGAGTCCATTGTTATTTTCGTGGACGTTCGTCCATTTGTGATGAACGGTCATCCAACAAATATGGACAAACGTTCATAATTGTTGGACGACCGTTCATTCGCAGATGACGTATGTTGTTTCTAACACAATCACATCTGATTGAATGTCATGTATGTTGATACAAAAATTCGGTGCAAATTGTTGGTGCCCGTATCATTATTAACTAATTAATGTATATCTAAACATTATTGAAGTACCAACGACCGATTGTTTTTCAAAGTTTTGTTTTCTTCTATTTGTCAAAGAGAATCTTATTTTGGTACCTAAAGTTTTAATATTGTTGGAAGGTGCTAATGATGAGCCACATAAACAATTAGGGGGACCAATTGTTCACAAATAATGGTACATATTTTATAATTTAAAATTTTCATATTTATTTAATTATTATATTCGACTGCCCTTTACCTTATAATTAAAAATTATTCATTTTTAGTGTTTCCTTTTTATTTTTAATTATTAATTTAGCCCACTTATTTATTCCCACCAACCACCTCGTACGATTGAATGCATTTTCCTTTTTCCTTTCTTATTTTATAAATTTAAAAGCATAAAAATATTATTTATATTAAAAATAAAAATAAAGAAAGAAAATAATCATTTTATCCCTTCAATTAATTGGAAGCACAAAACACAAATATGCTTTGATTGGATCTAAAACCGATAATATTTATTTAATTCAACTTGGGGAATATATTAGATTCAAACCGATAATATGTATTATTTTACAATTCTAGTTTGGTAAAACCGAATTTCATACTTCATGTACCAAATCAAATTGCATATATAAACAAATCATTTGTGTATTTATATTAATGCAGCATAAACATTTTGCAATCAAACTAAAACACTACTATTTATTTACTTTCATACAAGTTACTCAACTCGGTTTGACATCTCTATGTCAGCTCTTCACCACCTGAGACTGTAGAATGTTCCAAAGGTTGGGTTAAGCGGTGCAT